CAAGCAAAAACCGTTAACGTTGCCTAATCACTGCAAGTTGTTCCTATAGGAGTGTCAAAATTCACATGTAAGCATTAAAATTTAGTTAATCTACCAGGTGATACTTTTTCTTCTAGTTCATAAAAACGATCATTTGTTAACAATTCATAAAATGTTTCACAAATATTCGCAATTGCATGCGTTGAACTTATATTCACGTGTAATACATTAGGCCTAAATATTTTCTTTGTAACGATTTCGCGCAGACAAGATTTGAACATTTGAGAAAAAATATAGCGCTTTCTTAATATGTATGTGTTACGTCTCCGTTCGTTAGTTAATTTTCCGTAAATTCGTTCCGACGAAACTTTAGCGACACAAGTCCTTTCTTAAATACAACTTTGCGATACACTTAATTTCAACAGTCGCGCTATAACAAACGCTATAATTCACGACGAACGTCTCACGTGCTCAGTTCAACAATACTCTGTCAGCATACATTCAATTACTCATTATTCCCGTCGCTTCGTGGCCGGTCTTATATATACAAGACTACACTATATCTAGAAAGATCCCGAGATTTAAGGAAGGGACGTGAATGTTCGAGAAGGACGTGGCGTGATACTAGTCACGTGACCTCCGCTGACGCAACATATGGTTTGTTTGTTGTTAAGGGTAAAGCTACAGAATGAGATATCGGTCTCTATCTACCACGGGTATCGGAAATCAATTATTAGCGTTATAAGCCCGATGACTTACCACTGATTCACAGGGGGCCAACAGTTCGTGCTCCAATGACTTGTACCTTAAAATTCGAATTAATTATTCTGTTACTTACGAAAACAATTTTCCATTGGCATACATTTTAAATTTCATAGTTGTTTGTGTGTCAAAGAAGTAAAGAATCTCAACGTTTGTTTGTTGCTATATCTAAAGCTGCACGAAAGGCTATCTGTGTTCTACCCACGGCGGGTATCGAAATCAGATTTTTAGCGTTATAAGCCCTCAGACTTATCCGTGGGGGCTCAAATCATAATCAAACGGTTGAAATGGGTAGGAGGATGGGTGCTGTTATTACTGAAATATTTAAATAAGGGTTTATGGGTCTTCCTAATAATTGGAGGTTGAGTGTCTAATAATGGCAGAAATTAGAATGGATCTTAACAATAAAATTTCTATTGTGGTATTGTCTTTCAAATGTTAACCTTTTTTTAGATGGTCAATAGGTGTAGGTGTTGGAACGTTGTGCGTTAAAGCAGTGGTTCTCAACTGGGTGAATGGTTCAACCAGAGGTTAATGAGATCAGAAACAGGGTGAATGAGTATTATTAATTATACAACAAATTCAAGAGCAAAAATGTCATTGGTTATTATTATTTATTCTAGTTGTAGTTTGATAAATACATTTATTTTATGTTTTATATATTCTCGTTGTCTTTACACAAAACCTTGTCGAAACGTTGTACATTTGCTCTTGTGTTAAACTTATATTAAAGTTTTTCTTTATTACCCATTCAAGCCGTCTCCAACCATTATTAGTCTCAATGTGGGTTCCTCGTCATCGAATTTAAACTCTTTACTCGTATGGATTAAATTAGAATTTTCAAAATAAAAATTCCGAATCTTCAAATAAGATTACTTTTATTAGACGTTTATTTCAAATTGGAATTTAATCAAACTAATAAATAGGTAAAGGTAAACATAATCAAAAATGGATTAATTTTAGTAACTTATGCATGGATTTAGACTTTTGATAAATATGCTAATATCTTAAGTTTTATAATGAAAAGAAATTGAATTAAATGGCACGAAAGTTAAATGCTTATCGAAATGTGTATTAAATTTTGAATTAAAAAACCTTGATATTAAATAATTTATTTTAGATTTAATTAAGTTCAGATTAAAATGGGATTCTTTTCCAAGAAATAAAACTCAAGTAAAGGATAAAAAAGAAATGTCGAGTATCGTGATAAGTCAAAAACAAAAAATTAACGATGATTTATTTTTATTATCTAATCCATAAAAATGTTAAAGATTAAATATTTCCTATTAAGTTGTTACAGTTAGTTTTAAATATAATACACCAACAGGACCTCTACTTTTTAACAATAAAAAATTAATTCAAGACCCGATTCCTGAAGAAGTTGATAATCTACCTTGTAACTGCATTAATAGTAATTTTATTAATTTATTTTATAATCATATTGTTACAGGTAATTTAGAAGTTATTAAAGATGAAGAATTACAAATAATTTTGGAAAAAAGTTTTAAATTCAAAATGTTAAGATACACAAAAAATTAAATACAGTGAAACCCCGATTTAACGCGAATTCGGATATAACGCGATGGGTCATTTACTCTTTCGAAACGGGCTAGGTCCCTGGGACCGAACTCGTTATAGTTTACATACCAATAACTTTTAATATTTTAATTGTATCTTTACAAAAAACCCGATTTAGCGCGACCCCGCTTGTTTCACGATAACATT